ATATGGAAAAGTTCAAGGGGTATGAATACTTTTGCAAACCACTGTATATATATATAAATTTTTGACTCAGAACATAATTTTAAATTAACAGTAAACACTTTACTATAACCCATTTAGCAATCCTGCCTGGTACATTGCTGCAGCAGGTCCATGTAAATGTGTGATTTTTTTGTATATTAGTCTCAGTAAACATTTCAGAGACTGGTCTCGTGGAAACATCTGAGTAGCTACTCAGAGCCTGAGAGTCTGAACTCAGGGCAAAGAAAGCACTTCTGTATGTTTTGTTTTGTGAGCAGAAAACCATCCAGACTTCACCTGTCGACTCCATCAGGTCCTTCCAGATGTTCAACAAAACACACACCGTCTACACTCGCAGGTACACACACACACACACACACACACACACACACACACACACACACACCCCCGACAGGACAGTTTCTGCTTCATCAACCAATTACTCCTCCTGCTCTCTGCAGCTATCTGGGTCTGGGTCTGATGTCGGCTCGATTTGACATCTTAAGAGGCGTCAGGGCTCCCCCTGCCCCCCGTACGTACCTGACCTTCTTTATTTATTCTTGTTGTTTATTTTCATCTCTAACATTTACACAGCCCACCCCCAGGCAGATAAATAAGCCATTATCTAATCTTTTAATAACACACTGTAAGATTAATTCCTTGCCTGCCAGCTGTTGCTGTGATTTAGCTGCTGGAAGAAGCTCAGAGCCACTCTGAACTTCCTGTCTGTTTTATGACTGTTGAGATGGATTTCTGTGTTTAATCAGAGCTGTCCATCAGCAGCAGCTGCAGGACAAACACACACAAGCTGTATGATCCTAATAATGGTGATTTGAACAGAAGGCTTTAGTTTCACTTCACTAGTCACCTCTGCAGATTCCTGGGAGTTTCAGGTCAGCTGGGACTCCGCCTCCACAGCCTTAAATGAAAACAGTTATCCTCACAAACCGTGTTTCCATCAAGGCTTTTTGATGCACATTTAGAAGTGTCGCAATAAAAATGTGAAAAAAAGTCTGATGGAAACAGCAAAATTAGAAAAATAAATCTTCAATTCGCTAAAAAGTTTTTACGCTCGCTTGAGGTGGATTTTGGATGATTCACAAAGTAGTTAATTCGCAAAACGGGAGATGGAAACACGTTTGCCGAATAAATCCTGACGTAGTGCATATTTACCTCACGTGACGTTCAGCTGTTTCCTGCATCGTCCCGGATGTTATCATAAATGTACGAAACCATGGCTGCAAACAACAACAGGTATGTGTGGACTGACGAAGAGACGAGAACATTTCTCTCTTTAATTCGCAAAAGAAAAGTTAAACTAGCCTTTAAGCCGTTAAATCGCTCCATTGTCCCGAGATGATTAGCCTCTGCTAGTTAGCAAGTTTCACTTCCTGTTTACTACCGCAACGCTTGTCGCCGACGTCTGACGTAATCATGCGTTGCTTAGCCTCGTCTAACGTAATCACGCGTTGCGTAGCCTCATCTGACATAATCACGCGTTGCGTAGCCTACTCTGACATAATCACGCGTTGCGTAGCTTCGTCTAACATAATCACGCATTGCGTAGCCTCGTCTAACGTAATCATGTGTTGCGTAGCCTCGTCCAAAGTAATCACGCGTTGCGTAGCCTCGTCTAACGTAATCATGCGTTGCGTAGCCTCGTCTGACGTAACCACGCGTTGCGTAGCCTCGTCTGACGTAATCACGCGTTGCATAGCCTCGTCTGACGTAATCACGCGTTGCGTAGCCTCGTCTGACATAATCACGCGTTGCGTAGCCTCGTCTGGCGTAATCACACATTGCATAGCCTCGTCTGACGTAATCACGCGTTGCGTAGCCTCGTCTGACATAATCACGCGTTGCGTAACCTCGTCTGGCGTAATCACACATTGCATAGCTCGTCTGACGTAATCACACATTGCGTAGCCTCGTCTGACGTAATCACACGTTCCGTAGCCTCGTCTGACGTAATCACGCGTTGCGTAGCCTCGTCTGACGTAATCACGCGTTGCGTAGCCTCGTCTGACGTGATCACGCGTTGCGTAGCCTCGTCTGACATAATCACGCGTTGCGTAGCCTCGTCTGACCTGATCACGCGTTGCGTAGCCTCGTCTTACGTAATTACGCGTTGCGTAGCCTCGTCTGACCTGATCACGCGTTGCGTAGCCTCGTCTTACGTAATTACGCGTTGCGTAGCCTCATCTGACATGATCACGCGTTGCGTAGCCTCGTCTGACGTTATTACGCGTTGCGTAGCCTCGTCTGACATAATCACGCGTTGCGTAACCTCGTCTGCTGTAATCACGCGTTGCGTAGCCTCGTCTGACATGATCACGCGTTGCGTAGCCTCGTCTGACGTTATTACGCGTTGCGTAGCCTCCTCTATCATAATCACGCGTTGCGTA